GGAGAAGACCTACTCCCCGGATGACTGACACCTCTAATGTTGTTCTAGAACACTTGTCATGATTCTATCTTGCAACAATAGGTTATGCCTTACTGTTACAATTTTGATTAGTTCTAACAATTAGAGCTTTCCAAAAAGTGGCATGGGCTGCCTCTGGAGATACTAGATCCCTCACTGGAGTCTTCAGGCAATGGGTAGATAACCACTTGGGAGTTATGTTATAGAGGGGATTTTTTGTTTTTCAGATACAGGTTAGACTAGATGGCCTCTAAGGTACCTTTTCACTCTGAGAATCTATGAGTTTATGAAGGCAAAGATTTATATGGCCTGCAGTCAAGGATATATTCCATCTCCCTTTTGTCCGTCATAGATCAGACACTATTTGAGAGGGAATATGCCCTTAACTAAAGGTCACATAAATCAGGGGTTGGATTAGACGTCGTCTAAGATCCATTCCAGTTGTAAAACCTAGAATCTTCTGCTTTTGCTAATTTTATCTAAACACTGCTTGAAAGTCACATCACTTTTTCTAGAACCTTCTTGAGCTCCCTACTGATTATACATTAGGTCTGGACTCCTTTGTCTGGCATTCAATATCTTCCATGATCTGCCCCTAATCTACCTTTCTAATTTCCCACTCTTTGCTGATGAGCAAGACTGATGTTCTCACTTTCTCTCCCAACAAATCACACCCATTTCCCCTTCCTACTTTTGTATGTTCCATTCTCCCCAGATATCCTCATTCATCTCCACCCATCCATATCTAGCTATCCTTCAAGACTCAGTTCAAGTCCATTTCCTTCATGAAGCTTTCACTAACCATGCCAGCCAGTGCTACTTCTCCTTCCTCTGAATTTCAATAGCATGCTATGTCATTTGGCCCTTACTGCATTCTTTTTTGTTAGGTTCCTTTTTCCTAAATATGGTTTATCTCTCCAACTACAGTGTAAGCTCTTTGACAGCAGAGACTCTGTTTTCTCTTGTATCCTCCAAAAGGCTTAGCATAGGACAGGCCAGGTAGCAGCTTAATAAAGACTTCCTTGAATTGACTCTTTAGGTCAGAAAGCCTCAATCAATTTTCATTTGTGACTCTTTGTGGGGATCCCAGGTGGAGGAAGAAATGAAAGTCATGCAATTCCTTCTGCTATCCACTCAAGAATCATAGAATCTCCAAGTAAGAAAGAACCTTAGAAACATCCAGGCCTATTTGTACCTGAACAGGATTCCCTTCTTCAATGGCCCAGACAATTGGTCATCTACACTACCTAAAAACCTCCATTTCTATTTTTGGATGGCTCTAATTATTAGGAAGTTTTTCTCTCAGTAACTTCTACCCACTGGATCTCACCCTGACTCCTGAAGCCAAACAAAACAAGTCTTATCCCTAGTTAATGACAGCCCTTCAAATAACAATCTCTGCCACTCATATAAACTTTGTAGTGTGGCTATTTGTGCACACATTTAATTCCTCCCCTTAAATTACAAGGTCCTGGAGAGCAGGAGTCATACCCTATACATCTTTGTATCTTCCACAGTGTCTCAAACATGGTGTCTCAAACATAGCAAGTACTCAATATTTATCGAATGACATTTGGCCATTTGTCAATCTTTTCTTTATTCTTCAACTACTCACCCATCTGAGACCTCTTCTCACCACCATCTGGCCTCAAATTGGCTAAAGGAGAGTCAAGACATTTTCAGATATTTGCGTCTGACTCATTGGCTGGAAACAGATCTTCCCTTGGCTAAGGACATATAGACCTTCCCCCTTCCATCTCATGATGGAGTAGGCTTAAAGAACTTATTCCATCAACTGAACCCAGCCAATGGGTATAATACTGAGAAAGGCTATTCTCAATCAGTGATTCTCAAACTTTCTGGTCTCAGGAACCCTTTACATTCTTAAAAATTATTGAGGATCCCTCAAGGAGCTTTTGTTTATGTGGCTTATGCCTACTGATATTTTTACCATATTAGAAATTAAAAATCTTAGTATTATTATGAAAAGAGTTTTGATATCATAAACCCCCAAAAAGGTCTTGGGAGGGGTCCCTGGATCACACTTTGAGAACCAATTTATTTTTCTTTATTTTTTTTTTAGGCAACTGGGGTTAAGTGACTTGCCCAGGGTCACACAGCTAGTAAGTGTCAAGTGTTTGGTCTGAGGCTGGATTTGAACTCAGGTCCTCCTGACTTCAAGGCCGGTGCTCTATCCACTGTGCCACCTAGCTGCCCCAAGAACCACTTTTCTAGATAATTCTAGATCCTGCTCTGGTTAGTATTATCCAGGATGAATGAGAAGGGGTTGGGGCAGGACTGCTAAAAGGCCTGGGAATTCATTCCCAGTCTAATCAAAGCTTGATAAACCAGATTACTTGGGAAATCAGTGGCTCTCAATAATTAAATTTTCTTGCTAACTGAGGTCTAAGTAAAAACTCCTTTTTTTGTTGCAATCCTTATTAAAAATCTTTCAGTCCAGGGAGGCCAGGGGCCAAGGTACAATCTCTCTATTTCACAAAGAGATTTTAAGAGCAACATTCTGAACAGCAGTCATCATTTTCTAGGCTTAGAGACTGACACTGACAGAGGAGATAGGGCTTAGTATAGACTGGTCCCAAGACATCTGCTGTCATCTGGTATGATATGGTGGAAAGAACATTGGACTTCAGTTCTTGTCCCAGATCTGCCACTAACTCAATTTGTGACCTTGGTTAAGTCACTTCATTAGGCTTCAATTTACTTTCCTGTAAAATGATAGTTGGACAAGATAATCCCTAAAGTCCCTTTTCCACTTCCAACATTCCGTGACTAATTCTCTGACAACATTCCTGATCTCAGCTTTTCCTTTTTTATTAAAATTGGAACATAGCAAAAGCAAACAATGAAAAAAAAAAAGCAACTTCTGATAAAACTGGATTCTAGTTAATTTGGGCTTTGCTATATGTAGCCAAGCTGGAGAAAGCCCCAGCACCGTGAACGTGTCAGTGTTCCAACACCTGTAATCTGGACACCCCCTTTTATTTTGCTGCAAGAATTCCCTTTGTGCAGCAAGTGGGGGTCTGGGAGAAGCAGAGAAGGAGACGGGGAAAGGTTCAGAAGCTGCAAGCTCAAAAAGGGGTGGCATGGAGGGCTGCCTTCTCACTGCTCCCCAGGCAATCCTCTTTCAAAGTGGGAGAGAAGCAGGGGTCAGAATGCAAGGGAGGGAAAAGTACTTCTTTCTTTTTTTAAACAAATGCATTGAGAGCCCCAGGGCACTTCATCCCACCCTCAGTGGCCTTATTTTATTTTTATTTTTATTTTTATTTTTTTGCAGGGCCATGCAAGACACAAACACAGAGAATGTGGTCCCTGGGGAGTTAAGGCCCTGGGGCCACATAAGATGCACACATAAAAAAAGGGAGTTAGGTGGCGCTCTCTAAAAAAATATAACAACAACAACAACAAAAAAAAACAAAACCGCTCACCAGACACCATGACACGTTAGGATCAATGTCCATAACTGTCCTCAACTGTACAGATAGCACCAATTAAGAGAGCCCAGGGGTTAAGGGGCAAGGGAGGAACCATAGCCAGGGCATCTCGGAACTGTGGCTGACATCTACTTGACTCTTGGGAAGAGTCTGCCTATCCTTCTGGTATAACAACTCTCTACCCCCTCTTTACTACTCTGCTCCTTTGAGAAGCTGGAATAAATCTGTTTCAGTCCCTTAGGCAGGAGCAGATCTGACTCCAGGGAAGGGCTAGCCCCTTTCTCTCAAGCAGTCAAATCAAGATGCTGCTAGGTCAGCTCTTGAGGAAGAGGGCAGACCCCAGCTCTTCTTCCCTTCCTTGAGAGCTCAGTGAGATTTGCACAAATTGCAGCAGCACTGTCTTCAGTCATGGGATGGAGCACTATGTGAACCATCTGCCCTCCCATTCAACCCACCCACACCAGTAACCACAAGTACTCCCTGTTGGTCCTAATGAGGGTGGGCAAGAGAGGACCAGGCTGAAGCACTTGCTCAAATAACTGAGGTAGGACAGCATGGTGGAACAGCACAGGCACTAGACTAGAAGTCATGAGGACCTGAGTTCTGGTCCTACCTTGTGACCTCAAGTAAGTTGCTTAGTCTCCCTGTGGGTCAGTTTCCTTATCTGTCAAAGGGGCATAAGGCTATCCTGATCATGATTCATCACCTGCATAGGTGAAGATCTGGAGTATCTGATCCAGTGGACAAAGAAGAAGGTGGTGAGGGTGAAAGGAGGAAAAGAGCCTAAAAAGTGCTTTGGGAAAGTCTAAAGCACTATTCAAAGACAAGGTGGTGCCACCATATTAGAGCCCATCCCTTAACGCATCCCTCTCTGTCTCCTTTTTTCTGTAGGGACTCTCCTACCCATAGCATAAGTGATTGTCCCTTCATGCCTGGATGGGCCCTGGGGATCCCTGACTCACCACTCTCAGGTGCTATGCTGCTCAGCAGGTAATCCTGGGCTCACTGCTTCCCCTGCTCTAGATCCATGGTCCTGTCCAGTAGAGGAGGGAGCAACGGGAGGGTCTCCTCCCTATCCCTTACTTGGTTAGGTCTGAGAAGCATGGCTGGGATTGAGGGCTAACCCAGGCCCAGTAGCACCAACCACTCTTAATTTTACGGTGTTTAGTCTAAGATTTCTGCACCATCACCTTCTCATACTGTTCCCGACTTTTGGACAGGGTTCTATGGTCAGCCCCTTTGGTCCGTGGTCCACTAGGTGAGTGAAGACCTGGGCTCTCCATTCAGGCTGGGCAGGGTGGATCAGACATCCTTGCCCAGCTTTCAAGGGGCCTGATCTGGAGCGCAATTAAGGTCCCTAAACCCCAGGACCACATGAGGGGTATGAGGAGGGAGAGAGTTACTAGTGATTTTTAACACTCCTATCTGCCTCCCCATGCCAGGCTTCCCCACAGGGTTTCAACCCTCCCTCCTTCCTCCAGCCTGATTCCCTCACTAGATTCCCCCACCCTGTCCCCCCATATCCTACCACCAATACCTGCCCCAACCCCCACCCCTCAGCACTGGCCTAGTCCCGTTCCAGTGCCTGGTGGGGCCGAGAGGTCCCAAGGCTGGCGCTGTGCACCCGAAGATGGTCCTTGAGTGACTCCTTATACCGGAAACTCTTGCCACACTCGCTACACTGGTAGGGCCGCTCGCCTGTGTGGATGCGCTGGTGTTTAAGCAGATTTTGCTTCCGGATGAAGCTTTTGCCACACAGGGCACAGTGGAAAGGCCGCTCACCGGTATGTAAGCGTTGGTGATTCTGTAGGTGCTCCTTACGGCTATATGTCTTCTCACACTCGGAGCATTTGTAGGGACGCTCACCCCTGTGGGTCATCTGGTGGCGGATCAGGCCTGAGTGGCAATTGAAGCTCTTGGCACATTCAGCACACTCAAAAGGCCGATCTTTGGCATGGCTCCGATGGTGAATCATCAGGCTCTTTCGCACATCAAACGTCTTGCCACACTGAAGACAGAAGTGCGATTTGTCTTGTCCAGGTGAGAGGAAGTGGCTCCGCTGGTGCTCGCCTGCTATGCTGCTGCTATCACCACCACCGCTTTCGCCTGCCGGGCTCCCTGGAGAACTGTGGAGGCCTTCACAGAGGCCCCGTTCCCTGGAGACCATCGGGAAAAGATCATCGAGCATCCCAACAACTCCCCGGGTGGGCCCCCCACCTGGATTCTCAGTGCCAGGGAGTGGGGTGATATTCTGTTGGTGGGACTGGTGCTGGGGTACAGGTAGGGTAGAACTCTTGACCATTAGCAGCCTATCACCTAGGAAAGAGAAAAATGATTGTATAAATTATAACAATAATAATAATCCTAACCCTTTCAAGGGTTTTCACATAGATTATCTCATTTGATTTTAATAACAACCCCATGATATAGGTAGTATGTATGTATCATTACCCTAATAATAATAATAATGCTAATCTGATGCCTCCTGGCATGGAAGTGAACCTACATTTTCAAAGTCCAACCATTCTGGAAAGCAATTTGGAACTGTGCCCCTAAGTTATTAAACTGTGCATATCCTTTAGCCCAGCAATATCACACTGCATCTATACCCCAAAGAGATCAAAGAAAGAGGAAATGGACCCATATATACCAAAATATTTATAGCAGCTCATTTTGTGGTGGCAAAGAATTGGAAACTGAGGGGGTACCCATCAATTGGGGAATGGCTGAACAAGGTACAGTATATGAATGTAATGGGATATTATTGTGTTGTAAGAAATGATGAAGAAGATGGTTTCAGAAAAACCTCAGAAGACCTGTATGAACTGATACAAAGTAGACAAATAGAACCTGGAGAAAAATTTACACAATAACAACAATATTGCAAAGATAATTAGCTTTGCAAAACTTGGTAACTTTGATCAACACAACAACCAATCACAATTCTAAAGGACTCATGATAAAATATGCTATCCCCTTCCAGATAGAGAACTGATGGACTCAGTACAGACTGAAGCATATTTTATTTTCTCCTCATTTCATTTCTTTCTTTTTTTGGGGGGGAGGACATTGCTAAAATGGGAATTTTGTTTTGTATGACTATACATATCTGGAATGGGTTTTGTTTCTCTTGCCTTCTCAATGGTTGGGGGAGGGGGAGGAGAGTAGGAGATAATTCAGAACTGAAGATAAAATTGAAAAAAAAAAAGTCTGTGCCAACATAGTGTAAGCATTGGTGGGAACCACTGATCTGCACATGACTCAAGTATAGGCCTGATGATGGGCTGTAGCACTGTCATTGAAGGACCAGGCTTAAAGACAGAGAGCTGCATCACTAGGTTAGCTGAAGGATGATGAATTTTTCAACCATAGCATCTCACCAAAGAACCACTTACAGAATTTTTGGGCGAGTGACATTTTTCTGCTGGCCAGAACACAGTCCCAAAGTAATGGCGTTTTCCTGCTGACAGGTATGCTTAATAAAGACAGGAAATGGGACGAGCAGGGTGAAGAACCTTGCCTCCATGGTTTACTTTTTGTTTTGAGTCAAATTCTTTGCTTACAACACCAGAGAGAATCTTGGGGATAACTACCTCTAAATTAGACAGTTTTTTGTATCATAGGGTTCTTATCTCGAAGAGACTGACTCAGCATGGCGTACTTCTCCTGCTTTCATTAGCGAGGTATAATAGTTATGGCTAGAGAGCTGTTAGTCATCTCTCATCAAGAAGCCTTAGCCACTATGTCCTAGTACAGCGCTTCTTAAACTGTGGGTCTCAACTTCATATAGGATTGTAAAAAAATATGGCAACACTAAAAGGTTTCTGAACATGCAATGGCCAAAAATTAATTCAAAATCAAATGCATAATGAATCCAAGGTGTCTCTGGCAGGGCTTGCCCATGTTGCATCCCACAATGTCACTGCAGCCTTGGTTCTTAACACAAAGCATTTGCACTTTGCACTTCAAATGCCCTCAGGCCACACAACCCTGCTGAACCTTGAAAAGGGGTCATGGGTGGAAAAAGTTTAAGAAGCCCTGTCCTAGCAGACTGAAGCTGAGATAGCTTGATAGGCTCTAAAGTGATGAGTCTAGAAGACAGTAGCAGAGAATAATGCCTATGTGCCCAGAAACCACTTACTAGGACAACACTCAGCTGATTAAATGGTAAGCTCCTGGAGAATAGGGAATGTTTTTACTTCTTTTTGTATCCCTAGTACTTAGCACAGTGCCTGGCACATTTGTTGTTGTTCAGTCATTTCAGTCTTGTCCAACTCTTTGTGGCCCTATTTGGGGTATTCTTGGCAAAGATACTATAGTGGTTTGCCATTTCCTTCTCTAGCTCATTTTACAGATGAGCAAACTGAGGCAAACAGGGTTAAGGGCCCAGGATCACACAGCTAGTAAGTGTCTGAGGCCACATTTGAACTCAGATCTTCCTGACTTCAGGTCTGACACTCTATCCACTGTACCACCTACCTGCCCTGCCTGGCACATGGCAGGCACTTAATAAATGTTTATTGATTGATTTATACTACAGGGCAGAAGTCACGAAGGGACCAAAAAACAATGTGCCCATAGTCACTCCAAGATGCCCAGCAGAGCAAGACGGGCCCTGCATGGAGCAGATTCAGTGAGAGTAGCTCAGTAACATCATCATCTTATAAGCTCTGTATTTGAGGGTTAGTGGTACCACAGAGTAACCTGAGCCTGAGGTAGCTATTCTGGAGGTCTCACATGTGTGCCCAGGTGCTGCGAAATGTATGTGGGGAAGAGGCATTTATTAAATGCCTACTCTGTGTCAGGCACTGCGCTAAGCACTTTATGTTATCTCATTGCTCCTACCCTGTGAGGTAGGTGTTATTATGATCCTCATTTTACAGCCGAGGAAACTGAGGCAAGCAGAAGTTAAGTGACTTGCCCAGGGACACATAGCTAATAAGTGCTACAAGGGCCTAAGGGGGTTGCAATCTAGTGGAGGGAGTACTCACACCAATGAAATCACAGATCCTTAAAGTAGGGTGGTAACAATAACAGTTCATATTTATATAGCACATGAAAACTGATAACATGATGTCTTCATAGCAGTGGTGCAAGGTAGGTAGTAAAAGTATTCTCCTCACTTTCCAAACGAAGGAACTGAGGTTCAATGACTTGCCCAAGGTCACAGAATCTGGTAAATGGCAGATCTGAGACTCAAACTGAGGCCTTCTAACTTTAGAACACTCAGCTATAGCTGCCCCACACCAAGAAACTACTTGCATTCTTCATTAGATCTGGGCATCTCCTTTTTCAGAAGTTATAATTGACCTTCTGGTAACTCTATAATGGGGCAGCCGGATGGCACAGTGGATGGAGCGCTGAACTTGTCGTAACTCAGGAATAAGTTCAAATCCAGGCTCAGACGCTTACTAGCTGTGTAACTCCAGGCAAGTCGCTTTACCCTGTTTGCCTCAGTTCTTCATCTGCAAAATGAGCTGGAGAAGGAAACAGCAAACCACTCCAGTATCTTTTCTAAGAAAGCCCCAAACGGGGTCACAAAGAGTCGGACAAGACTGAAATGACTCAACCACAAAAAAATGACAAACTCTATAATGGGAATGACATTAACTGCCTCTCGGATGCCCTGTGATGAGAACTAGAGAGAGTTTGTGGACCAGTATTCTTTGGCACGGAGGCTGGCTACTGCTCCCATGACTCCTCACTCTCAGCAAGGGCTCAAGTGGCCTTTTCCTGCTGTAGCTCCAGCAACTAGCAAGTGGGAGAATACAAACTGGGACTTCCTTATCTCAGCTCAGTATGCTAGAAGGATGCCAACCCCTCAGCCTCAGAATGTTACCCTCCAAGTATACACTGACTGGCCACTCTGACTTACACTAAGATCTCTTCCTCCACAGTTGCTCCTGACATTCAGGAAGACCTTTACCATGTCAGCTTAAGCCTTTGTTCCCAGGTCCCCAGAGGCTTATTACTCACCGGCACTGGCATCAATGGCCATGTCCCTTTCCATTGAATCTGGTGGGCCCCAGGGATATGGCTCCTCTTCCTGTTTGATCCATGATAGAATGTCATGTGCTGAGATCAGAGATTCTGGGCACGTCACACACACACGCGCACACACACGCACACACACACACACACACACACACACACACATACAAAAAGGCAGCATTAGGTTTGGCTGACTCCTCAGCAAAGAATTCAAAACTCCTGTCAGCCAATGCCATTTCTGCATTAAGAGTTGGTTACAGTTATCATTCTTTGAATATATTTACCAAATTTGATCTTCTAAAGTGCGTTCACAAATATGACCTCATTTGATCCTAGCAATGTCCCTGTAAAGTTGGTGGAATAAGGACTGTCATACACATTTGATTCAGGAGAAAATGAGAAATCAGAGAAGTGAAAACAACTTGACTTGCTCAAAGTCAGTAGGGCTTTAGTGGCTTCTAACCCTCAGTCCCATATTCTTTCTACTACACCATGGAGGAAAAAAAATGAATTGTTAAGAAACTTCAATGCTTTGAAGAACACAGAGGAGAAAAAAAAAAAAAAACAACTGATCCCTGATGGTTCCTAGGGCTTGATTAGATGATTAACAAATAAGTAGCAGCAATAAGCAATAATATCAGTATATTGGGTACTGTGTTCCCGGTGGTTCCCTGAGGGCAGTAGCGGAAAGAATCCTCCTCAACAGAACAATGAGGTCAAAAGACTATGAAAGAGCCTATACCCTGGGAAGAGGACTCACTTTGGAGTCAGAAGACCCGAGTTCAAATACTACTTAAAACATTGTTAGTTATATGATTCTGTTGACAACTTACTTGACCTCTCTGTCCCTCAGTTTCCTCATATGTGGGATGAGGAAAGTGGGGCTAGCTGGCCTCTGGGGCTTTGGGTCTTTAAGCACTGGGTCTATGATCTTGTGACCCCTCTCTTGGGAACCATGGGATATTTCCACTGGTCTCCAGGCTTTAAATGTTGCAATTTAAAGAATAAACAAACAAGAAACAAATAAAAACAACAAACTACAGAATTGAAGGGAAAAGTCACTAGTAACAGCTGCAATTCAAAATCTTAAAGCCTTAGGAACTCATGATGAAGGTTGGGTTAAGATGTTGGTTTTTAATTCTGTCCTGGATCAGGGAGCAGTTTCCTTGGCTGTTAAATCTAGGAGCTACAAGGAGACCTAGAGTCTTCTCTGGCTTCTTCCTTCTGCAAAATAGGAGGACATACCTAAGGCTTTGTAACTATCAAGTAATATACTTCTAAGGCACCATCTCAGTCTTCTAGCTCAGTGAATTGTCAGCCAGGAGAGTTTCTACATATCTTTTATTCTTCCAGAACATGCCTTCTCCAAAAGTTTTCCAAGGGCAATTGTTATTAGAATTAGGATCAATTACCAAGAGGGTAATTACTCTCGGACATAGGCATGTACATAACTATTAGAATCTCTTTATTTTGTTCCGGCTGCTTCAAAAATGAGAGATTAAGTATATTAAGCTCTACAGTTAAATGAACACAGCAATGCATTTTCTGAGGATTAGCATGGTATGATGTAAAGATGAGTAGACTAGGAGCTGGGACCTCTAAGTTCAAGTTTAAGTAGCCCAGCCACTTGCTTGTCATGTGACCTTTTGCAAGTCACTTAACCTTCTGAGCCTCAGTTTCCTTACCTGGAAAATGAGGAGTAAATGATCTCTTAAGGCCCCTTCTATTTCTGACATTTCATGATTCTCTGATTTTTATGAAATCTCATGAATGTTGTAACTATTCATGCTTAGAAATTCACTCTACCTCTATAATTTGTTCAAAAAATCAAACTGCGGCTGCTCTTTGCTTTAGTTATTTTGAAACAGCCTCTTGGCCAAATCTAGTAAAATCTCACCACCAGATTTTTATGAAAATGGATTTTACGTACTAGCTTGTGCTTGGAATTTTGGAATCAGTGAACTTTTCCTCACCTGAATTGGGGTCGGTGGGAATGTCCCTTTCCTCCAAATCCTGCTGATCCCACACACAATGTTGCTCCTCTTGCTTAATCCGGGATAAGATGTCCTGGGTAGAAATTGGGGAGTCTGTTGTGGGGGCAAAAAAAGGCATTAATGTGTTTCTTCATCTTCCACTCCCTATTAAGAGTTGGTTATAGCCATCTCAAACCATCCCCATTTTCCCTTCTGAGGAATTAGAAACAAACTTAAGCAGGCCACAATTTAACCTGAGAAGACTTTCTCTCAACTTGTGCTCCACTCTAGCTGAATTGTAATACTCGTCATCCCTTTTACACATTCACCATCTTCCCGCTCCACATCTTGGCTCGGGTTGTTCCCAATACTTGGAATGCCCTCCTTCTATCTCCCCTTTTTGAAATCCTACCTATTCTTTAAGTTCCAGTTCAAATACCACTTCTTCATGAAGCTTCCCCTGGTCAGTAAGGTGTGGCCTTTCCTTCCTCTGACTCACTATTTTGCCTTTTTCATTCAATTCTGCAATATATTGCTGAATATTAGTATATGTTTCATACCACTCTTCCCTCAACCAGATTGTGACCTTCAAGTAAAGGAGCAACAATATCTTAATTATCTTTGCATCTTCCTCAGTGCCTAACAGTGCTTTGCATAAAGTAGGCATTTTATAAAAGACTGATGAATGAATGGCAATTTTCCAGCCAAATAACAGAAGTTACTCCAATGACCCACAGTTCCACTTTACTTTTATTTTAGCTACTTTTGTTGAAAATCTTTCAAAAATGTATTCTTAAACAATATGTATGCTGGACATAATTGATTATTAGTATGAACTTCTAAGGTCCCTTTTTCAAGCCCTAAATCCTCTTGCCCAATTATTGATTATATTGTGCTTTATACAGAGATGCCCTTGGATGTTACCAAGGTGTGCAAGGCTATTTGCCCCTACCCCAAATAGCTTTGGACTGCTGTGCTTTTTTGTGTGGTTCTTCAGCCAGGTTTTATAGTCCTTCTCTTACTTCTCCACTGTCACTCCTCGTTGTTACCAGTGTGTCCTGCTGCATCTTTTTTTTTCCCTATTTATTGGTACTGATATATATTGTTTTGACACATGAGGCTCTTCTCCTATTCTCCCCTAAAAAAACAGGTAAACAAAACCACTTAATATAGTGATTTTGACTGATGATACATACTGCTTTCTATTTTTGAAGTTTACTATTTTCCACTTTTTAATTTATCATTTATTAACAGAAAAGAATGATGTGTGCTTTAATCATTAGAACCCAAGCTGGCCATTGCGTTTGACCTGAATTTTGCTGCTTTTTATTGTGGTCTTCATTTAACATTGTTTTCTTGGCCTTTCTTTCTTCGCCATGTACCAGTTCATACAGTTTCTCTGAATTACTCATATTTGTCATTTCTTTTTTTTTTTTTTTTAGTGGACTCATATTGATGTATTGAAGTCATATCTTTAAACCACTTTATACATTTTTTGTAAATTTTATAAGTGATAGCTAAAAATTTTCAAATGAAAACTCACTCTCTATTATAGTAAACTTATTATTATCTTCTCTTTTTAAACAAAATATATCCCATTAAATGTTTAACAATATTTAATATTTGTCATTTCTGACAGCACAGCATTATATGCTAAGATTTGTTTAGCTGTTCCCCAGTTGCTGGGCACATAGTTTGTTCCTAGCTCTTTACTATTTTAAATAGTGTTGCTCTGAATATTCAGGTAGAAATGGGTCCTTCTTTCTGTTATTGACCTCCTTTGGGTATAAACTCAGTAGTGTTATTTCTAGGTCAAAAGAGATGAAAAATTAATAACTTTTTTCACATAATTCCAAATTGTTTTTGAGAAAGGTTAGATCAATTCATAGTCCCACTAATTGTCAATCACAAAATCACAGAACTGGACAGCTGGAAGGGAGAACTCAGAGGCCATCTAGACTAACTCATGTATGAAAGGAATTCCCACCAATTCCTACAAGATAGCCTCTGCTTGAAGACTTCCAAGGATCGAAGCCCCCCACCTCTCAAGGCATCCCATTCTACTTTGAGATAGCTCTAGCTGTTAGGAAGTTGTTGGGACATTTTTTTTTTAAACATCAAGGCCAAAATTGGCCTTTTACACTTTCTGTCCACTACTCCTGGTTCTGCTCTCTGGGGCCAAACAGAACAAGTTGAATTTTCCCCCCATATGACAGCCCTTTAAAACCTGAACACAGTTATTGTGTCTTCCCCGAGTCCTCTTTTCTCCAGCCTAACATGCCCAGTTGCCTTCCTCCCAAAATTCTCCAACTGATCAATGACCTTCTTAAACCATGGCACCCAAAAAGTCTGATGAGGTCAGAACACAGTGGGATTATCATCTTCCTAGTCCTAGAAGTTCTGCTTCTTAATGCAGCTCAGCCTTTCTGACATTGCCTTCTTCTATTTTTATCAATTTGATGATAGTTACAGAACATTTAATTCTAATAAATAGCTAACATTTATATAGCACTTACTACATGCCAAGCGCTGTGCTAAGCACTTTGCAAATATTCTCATTTGATCCTCACAACAACCCTGGGAGGCAGGTGCTATTATTATCATCCCCATTTTACATATGAGGAAACCAAGTCAAACAGAAGCTAAATGACTTGCTTAGGTTCACACAGCTAGTAAATGTCTAAGGCAAGATCTGAACACAGGTCTTCCCAACTGTAGGCCCAGTACTCTATTCACTCTGCCACTGAGCTGCCCATTTATTAATGTGCCCAGCATGTGGCAAGCACTGGTGGGCATAAAGTTATAACTCAGCCGTTTCAATTATTATTAATTCTTTTTATTAGATGGTTGCTGGTAGTTTGCATTTCTTTTTTGGAAAATTGTTCGCATCCCTTAACCAAATATCTACTTGGGAATGGTTCTTTGTCTATAATAATTTTGATACAAATATTATTTCCCAATCTATTTCTTTTCTTCCAATTCCAGTTCCATTGATTTTGTTATTCTTTTCTCGACAAAAGCCTTTTAAAGTGAATATATTTGTTTATATTATATTTATATTATTATATAATTATTTTATATTAATTATATAATAAATAATAAATATATTTGTTTATATTATATTTAAAGTGAATATATTCTGTTGTTTATAATCTTCATTACCTAGTATCTTCTTAGGAATTCTTCCCCTAGCCAGTTGTCAACAATGTAACTTTCACTGAAGATGACTGAAAGGACTATAATGCATGGCTAGGACAGAATGCTATTTCACAATGAGAAATGACAAATATGAAGAATTTCTTTTTAAATGGCAATAATTATATGGACTGAGGTAGAACAAAATAAGCAGAAGAAAAAAACCAACATGTACCAATATTTATATATATATATATAAATGTAATCTTCCTTTGTCCTCTTTTCTCTTGTCCCTTTGCTTCTATTCTGTGCTGCCTTAATGTGTTAATTTGTTTAGGATGATTTTTTTGGATATATTGATGCTAAGAGGCTTGAACATCCTCCACCGCTGCTGGAGCAGTTGGGCATGGCGTGGTAACAATAAGAGCTGACATTTATATAACTCTTTAAGGTTTGTGAAGCACTGTTACTCCATTTGATCCTCACAACAACCCAGAGAGGTAGGTGCTATTATTATTTCTATTTTATAGATGAGGAAACTAAGGCTGTTAGAGGTTAAGTGACTAGCCTAGGGTCACCTAGCTATTGAATATCTGAGGCAGGACTTGAATTCGTATCTTCCAGACTCCTAAGTCCAATGCTCAGGCCATTTGGTCCTTTAGCTGCCTAATTAATTACAGTTCTACCATAGCATTTAGGTCCTCAAACCCATTGGCAGATTTCTGGCACATAAGAAGTTGGATGATTTAGATTAGTGTCGACAAGGACAGAATGAAGTGTCTATACTGGAGAGACAGTTGGGCATGAACCATGATCAAAGGAACGATGCCTTAGTAGATGTGCAAAGAAGGCCTGCATGTGGGGAAGGACCAAGGAAATCTGGGAGGTATGGCAACCCCAAAGTCATCTCCCTAATGTGTGTTCACAGGTGTTTATCTTGACTGCAGATTGAGGCTTGGCTGCCCTGGTAGCTCCACAGATTCATCCCTTTGGGAGCACATAATGATGGCAGCTTTGAGATCAGACCTAGTGTAGCACTATTTGTCTGAATTGACTCAGCTGAGTTTGCTTCCAGTGGCCTTGAAGAAGAAAGGTCTCTTCGGTGGGGAGGTAAGAGGAGTCGGACATTCTTACACAAACACCTTGGTGAAGGTCTGGGGGTAGTTCCCCACCTCTCCTACAAGGTGAAATGAATGAGCTTTGTAATAACTGTTATCCTCTGTTCTGAGGCTGTTATCACTTACAGGATATATAATCCATGGTTGAACTTGCTAAAATCTGACCTTTAGAGAGACTTCTGCATGTTATCAATATGAATTCCAGAAGCTTAGGACAGAAAGGCACCTTGTAGGAGGTGACTGAGCTTCACCCATGTCTACCTGACAATGCCCACTTGGGTCATGGTTGCCTCCCTGCCTCCTTTCCTTTTCCTTGAAGTCAGCAGATGTTCTTTCTGCTCACTTACCGGTAACGGTGTCGGCAACAATTTCTCTTTCTTCTGAGCACCTCTGAACCCTGGCACACAATGGTTCTTCCCTCTTCACCTGAGAGGAAGCCGCTGGTGCTTGGATCAGAGCTTCTATAGCTAGGAACAGAGAATTGCATTATTATATCATTACTTTCTCCCTTGTCATTTTTCTAAGTTATCATTTCCGTGATGGAGTCCAGAGTAGCAGCCAGCTGGCAGAACCACAGAGGTAGCACATGCCTAAACTGGGCTAACAGTAAAATGGGGAACACAGTCATAAGTACAACAAAGAGAAATGGAAAGGGGGAGTGGTCATCCTAATAATGCATGACATTTATAGATCATTTTAATGTTTGCAAGGCACTTGACATGCAAGTATTTCCTTGGATGTTCCTAATAATACCCTGGGAGGTAGATGACACAGGCATTATTAGTCCCATTTGACAGAGGTGGAAAGTGAAACCCAGAAACTTACCCATGGTCATAGGGCCATTTAGAGTCAGAGGTGGGATTCAAAGGCAGGTCTCCCAGGTCAGTGGTCATTTCAAGATACCACCCTGCCTCTCAAAGTGGGAGAAGATCAGGGGAAGGGTGCACCAAAAACAGGAATAAACATGAGCAGGACTACTGGTTAGTACCTTAGTTAAAGCAGGGTTTCGTCACCCTTCTTTGTGGCAGGGACCCCTTTGGCAGTCTGGTGAAGGTTATAGACCTTTTCTAAGAATAATTTTTTTAAGAATAAAATAAAATACATAGAAGTGCAAAGGAAACCGATTATATTTGAATACAACTATCAAAATGCTTTTTAAAAATAAAAACCATGTTCCGGGGTCCTGGTTTGAGAACTCACGATTTACAGCATGGTGCCAACAAGACTGTGAGTTTCATCCCCATGAAGGCAGTTGGCTTTGCTCTTTTCACCAACCAAAGACTGTCTCCCTGGCACTAGCCAGATTTTCTGTAAATGCATGCTGTCAATCACAAAGAAGACAGGTGGAAAGTGTGGGGCTACTTCAGTACAAACCCATTCCTTCTATAGGGAAAACCACATGTCCTATTTATGGTGGCTCAGTAGCAACAACTTTGTATAGGTAGCTGGAGGCAGGTAGGTGGTACAGTGGATAGAGCACTGAGCCTGGAGTCAGGGGGACCAGAATTCAGATCTGGCTTCAGACACTTACTAGCTGTGTGATCTTGGGCAAGTCACTTAACCTCTGTCTGCCTCAACTGCCTCTTTCCTCAACTGTAAAATGGGAGTAATAATAGCACTTACCTCCAAGGGTTGTTATGAGCATCAAATGAGATAATAATTATAAAGCACCTAGGACAACACCCAGTATATAGTAAGCATTTAATAAATGCTTGTTTTCTTCCTTCCTTTATGAAGACAAGTCAATCCTAAAGCACTCAAAACATCTCATGGAAACTTAAAACTAGGTCATACTGTGCTGAAGAGTTACCAAAGAGTGGAAGAAGGGGAAGGGCTGGGGTCACAAAGGCATAGTGTTTGGAGAACCCCCTATCTATTCCCTTGGGTACTGGTAGGAGCAAGGTATAGGGAATGGAGGTGGCTTCTGTCTCAGGGTTGCCCTGGACTGTTTGGTCTCATTTCTCTTTCCAGCCTTTCTTTCTTCTGTACCCTGTTTCCTATAGTCTCTAGCTCTTCAGTAAGTTTTGCTCTGTTTTGGTAAAAGGGTCTTGAAAAGTAGATGTATCCCTAAAGCAGCAGCCATCTTGTGTGGGCTAAAACTCTTAATTATAAGTGGTCAGGACTAGGACAACCTACTCACACCGAGAAGTAACTAAACTTTCTAACTGCTGGACGCCTGCCTATAGAGGTGCTCACCTGTGGTAGGATCCATTGGGATTTCTCTCTCCTCTGAGTTATGTTGTTCCCACACACATGGTTCCTCCCTTGGCTCCACCCGAGACTGGGCATCTGGCTTGGGCATTGGATTCTCAGCACCTGTGAAGAAATTTTATGAGAATGAATGTACAACATTTACCAAGCCAACTACATCCAATGTAACAGCAAAGACACATGGCTCATCCTCTGTAGGTTCCATTCATGAAAACTCCATTACTAGCCCAGGCAAATGTGTGAATCAGAGAAATCATAAAAATTGGTATAGAAATGGTCAAATCTCCATCAGGGAGGGCAGTCAATCTCAAAGAAAACCAACACATGAAACTGACTTTGGCTTATTCTGAGCCTATCAGACTGGAGAAAAGAGGCAGAGGGGAATAGAAAGGTCTAAGTGATGAGTACCTTAATACCATATCCTTTAAGGAACATGACTGCCTCCACCTAGGGGAAACAGCTGGCTTTAGAATGAGCATCCTGCCTACCACAAGGACACATAAGCATGATCCTCATTGGGAAAACCCCCCAGAGATATAACCCTTGGAACCTTCACTCCTCTTTGAAACAGACAGTAGTGTGTATAGATATTCAATTGTAAAACCTAATTACTTTGGACTGACTTGATAGGGACAGGAAGGCCAATTCTGAATTAATGATAAGTCTAAATAACAGAATACTATTCAAAGTCAGGGCTTTTACTTATTAAAACTAGATCAACCAAAATATTAGTAAGCAGATATCCTTAGAAACACTGCTTTAATAAAGACATAAAACCTGGAAACACTTGTATGAACTGATGCAGAACCAAGTGAACAATTTATACAATAACATCATAAAGACAATTTGAAAGACTTAAGAATCTTAATCAATGTAATGATCAGCCATGATTCCACAGGTCTCATGATGAAGGATGCTCCCCATTTCTTAAGAAGTGATAGATTCAAGATGCTGATGGAAACATAAACTTTTTGGATATGGCCAATGTAGGAATTTGTTTTGATGATGCACATTTGTTATAAGGATTTTGTTTTTCCTTTCCTTTTTTTTTTATTTTTGATGGAGAGGGAAAAGTTAGGAGGGAGAGAAAATAGATTTTTGTTTGTTGAAGACAAATGAAAATTTAATTTCTTTTTTAATTTGAAAAAGAATAGATAAGAGAGACATGTAGATAGCATTTGTATGGAGTTAATCATTGCATGAAAAAGCACACTTCTAAAGCATTTGAAAATAGTTTGTTCTCTTCAGTAGTTTCAACATTCCCCTGGAAATCCTTTTTTCCCACTATTAATTTGTCCAGTAAACCCTTCATTCAGAGATATGGCAAAGATAAATTTCAGTCCCGTCTCTCAGCAAAGGATCATAAATTCTAAATGAGTGGGATTCAAATTAATGAGATTTTGCTGTCCTTTAAAACTGATAATGGTGTGGGACTGATATAGCAGGAGATACTATTTTTATTAACTCTATTGTAATTACCATATCAGTTTTAAACAAGTTGTCCCACCAAGATATGCTAGTTGCTTTGCTTATAGTATGAATAGGGATTTGGGTAACATCTTCCATTTGTATAGGGCTTTATACTTTTCAAAATGCTCCCAAAGGGGAGGACTCTACCCATGATTTCATTGGTTTAGGGAACTGCTAGTGAGGAAACCCCTTTTACCAATGCATATCTGCAAGTATTCTGCAACTTACAGTCTTAAAGAGCTGAAAACTGAGAGTTTAGGTGTATTGCCCAAGATCACAGAGCCCGGATGCCAGAAAGCCCACAAGGAACCCAGGCCTTCTTGTCTCTCAGGCTGGCTCTCTATCCACTACACAACACTGCCTCTGTCCATAAACATAATTTTTATTTCATCCTTAAACTCCCTCTATGAGGTGGAAAGGAATGCTCTCCATTACACAGAAGAGAATACCGAGGCCAGGGGAGATAGCCTAGACCAAGGCCATTCAGTGAATCAGTGACACAATCAGGACTAGAAGACAACTATCCTGATTCCTAATCCATTGCTCCTTCATATTGTCTCTACAGCCTCAGTCAAGCACAGACAGACAGAAAGAGGAGAGAAAGGCAGCTTTTACCTAGTGACATTAGGGTTTTGTAGTTCTCCTTCACGAGGTTATTGTAAAGCTCTTTCTGCCACTCGTCCAAATTCTTCCACTCATCCTCAGAGAAGTAAACGGCTATATCCACGAAGGTCACAGGCACCTGAAATGGCAAGTATCCTAACTCAGTATCTCTGGGAATCACTCCCCTCCAGACCTTCCTTTACCCACTTCCTACTAGAACCAAATCCAGAGTCTGTAGTGAAGCCTTATATAACATGGCTCCAGTTCTCACCTTTCCATCCTTATTTCCCAATGTGCACCTTCCTCTGTAGGTGGCATCCCTCTTTCTCTCACCATCTCTGACTTTGTTCACATTGTTCCCCTTGCCTGCAAAATTCTACCTTTTTTTTTTCTTTCCTATTTGTGGAAGTTCTATTCATCCTTCATGGCCCACCTCAAGTCCCACCTTCTCCATGAACCTTCCCTGACCACTGCAATCCACACTGAACTCTCACATGCAATTGCAATTATTTCCTGTATTATTCATTTTAATTGGTCAGCAAGCATTCATTAAAGGCTTACTCTGTATAAGGCACTGTAGAAAGTACTGGGGTTATAAAGAAAGGCAAATGATAAGTAGTCCCTGTCTTCAAGGTGTTCACATTCTAAAGGGGGGAGATACCACGTAAATATCTAGGTCTATACAAGATACATGGAGTAGAAGAGGAAGGTAATCTGACATCGGATGGCACTAGCAGCGTCTGGAGGACCACGAAGCAGGAATAGGAGTACTAAGAATGGGATATGAGCTGAGCCTTGAAAGAAGCCAAGGAATCTAGAAGTCAGAACAATCCAAGTAATGGGTCAGAGTCTAGGCACAGAGACAGGTAGACTGGTATAGCTGGATCATAGTTTGTGGAGGGGAGTAAGGTGTGAGAAATGTAGGAAGGGGCCAGGTTGCAAAGAATGCCAAACAGAGGCCTTTATATTTGATCCTGGAGGTAATAGGGACCTACTGAGGCTCAGTGGGGTAGGGGTGGGGGGGGAGATGACATAGTTTTACTTATACTTTAGGAAAACTACCTTGACAGCTGAGTGGAGGATAAACTGGAAGGGAGTGAGACTTGAGGAGGCAAGGCCAATAGTTAGAAGGCTCCTGCAGTAGTCCAGATGAGATGGGATTATGACTGGATGAGTGGCAAGAAGGAGACTTGAATGTATGAGAATTGTTGCATAAATAGAAATAAGATTTGGCAACTTCTTGGATACGTGGGGCCAGTGAGAGTCTGAGGAATCAAAGATAACACCACTGCAAGTCTGGGTGACAGGGGGGATGGTGGTGCCCTCAGCAATAATAAGGAAAGGCAGGAGGGCTTAGGGGGAAAGAGAGAGTTTAGCATGGGAGCACACACTGCCCAGTCTTACTTAGCTTTCTGTATAGAGTGGGCCCTTGAACTAAAGGCTACAGGAGGCATATTATTTTTGGAGTCTAATGTGATTAAGGTATGGTATCAGTTCTTGGAAGTGCTTTCAATCACCTAAGCACAATGAAGCCCTGATATGAGGCAGTAATCAGGTTGAACTGCAAGTCAAATCACCTCCAAACAGGTAGTTATAGGTTTCTCACAGGAACATGGAAAACTGTATATATTTATATATAAAAGATATGTATCATCATTAAATACATACATATATGTAAAAGATATAGCATCCATTTCATATACATTTCTCATTTTTCTATTCTTTGTATGGGAAAATGTTCATGTTTGTTCAGTTCATAATAGTAAAAAAGGAAAACTTTAAAAATAAAACAAAAACAGAACCCTTTACCCCCAAAAAATGTATGTGATCTAACTCTGGAAGCATGCCACACCAAGGCTTCAGTTGTGTTATAAAAGTTAAGAAGTAATACCATAACAGGATCCTGAAAATTGAGCGTATACTTAATTTCTCAAAGAAGGCAGAATCTGTAGCTAGATCATTAGAGGGGTTTACGGTGGCCAAACAGATGTGACAGTGAGACTGTCTTTTGCTAACCACATGAAAAGGGGCATCTCTCTGGTTTTGGTTTATCAATGACCAGACTGAAAAAAGGAGCCAGTCATTCCATGAAGTCACCTGCTCCACAGTGTCATGTTTAGTAATTGTTTAGTATTTCTAAATGCTATTCCTAAATTGTTTAGTGACCTTAACTGGAATGATGCACTTTTGAAAAAATCATTACTGCTATGAAATATAACTTTGATTTCACAAGGACCTATAAGGATGAGTGGTAGGTACTGCTTGAGGAAAGGGAGGTCTTTCCTGAGCTAGCAGGGGGAATTTTGCTGGCCACAGTCTCTCTCCAAGTAGTTGTTTGTACATTTATTAAGTGATATGTCTGATCCAGGGATGTGCTAGAGCCACCTCCAACTGGCTGGAGAGAGCAGATTATTAAATTGTCAGTAAGTGCATTTACCCCTCAGAAACCAACAAACACCACAAAATCAGGGTTTGGTTTATTGTTTTGTTGCTTGTCTAGACTTAAGAAAGTGATGGAGAGAATATTAACAGTCCAGATTAAACTTAAAAGTGTGTCATGTGAACATCTCCCCCTAGCCCTTTCCTGAGAGCTGGTTATTAAACATTTACCAGAATTCTCCTGCATGTCTGGCAGATCTGGCTAAAAAATAACAGTAGATTGTTTCTCTTCCACATAACTTTAACTGAGCCTTCATTTCCACTTAGAGATCAACGCCATACAATATGAATTCTTAAAATTTTTCTTGTGCTTCTTTTCTCCCATTTTAGAAGAATAAATGCTTCCCCTCCCTTGCCAAGGCTAATTCCTTTCCCTGTGCCCTTAGGTTCTACCTCCTTCAGGACCTTAGTCCATCAATTACCTTCTTTTTCCCTACCCCTTTCAGTCCCTCCCTTTCAACTTGCTCCTTCTCTGCCAATAAACATGCTTAGGCTGCCCAATTTAAAAAAACCAAAAACCAAAAACCCACCATCCCTTGACCTTTCTACCCCCTTGGAACTTCCATCTTTACTTTTACAGTGAAATTTTAAAAAAATTATATACTCTTCTACCTCTATTTTTTCATAATCTACTTGCTCTTTAATCAAATTAAATCTAGGTTCCCTTCATCCAATCCATTCTGCTCTCCAGTACCAGCTTAAACTTCCTAAAATATAATTCGAATATGTCTCCTACACCAACGGTGGCAAATGTGTACGTGGCCACGTGGTCCATGAAATTTCTGAGTATTGCCCAAATCAGATTAAAATGTAATTGGGAAAAATTTAACAGAATAAATAAAAATACAGATAACATTGCATTTTAGAACTAAGTAAATAGTTAGGCCATAGGGACCCTTAGGTATAGTTAGTTTAGTGGCCCCCCATTTCTATTTGAGTTTGACACCATTGTCCCACATCACCCCCTCAAGGCCTCAATGGATACCTGCCGTCTAAAAAATAAAATAGGCCTCAATCAACTTTTCGAGTCTTACCTCTCAGTACTACTCTACACATACTCTATGCTTCAGCCAAACTGGAATATTTGTCAATCCCAAAGGAGTCCCATCTGCTCAAACAGAGGAGTTTGACCTTTATAGGTAATAGGGATCAATGCGAGGTTCTGAAGCTATGTAGTATCATGACAAAGTTATACATGTTGTTTGCCTGTTTCCCCCCATCATGTAACATGGTTTGCAGCATACCTTGGGGACCTCGCCTTTGCTGCCCGGCGGGAGACGGAGGACCCAGAAGTTCCTGTTTCTCAGCAGGTTCTCCATGTTCTCCAGCCTCCTCTGGAGCAGCCCGTACTCCTGGAGCAGGGTGCCTAGCATGGCCCACTTGCTCTCCATATGGTTCCCAAACTCCACTGCCGTCTTCTCACAATCAGCGAGCTTTTTCTCTGCTGTCCCTGTCCGCCCCTCCAAGTTCAGCAGCTGGTTGGCCTGGGCATCCACCTTCCTCTCCACAGCCTGAATGGCAGCCACCACAGTCCAGAGGGAGATCTCAGCTGTGGGCAGCTGGGGCTCCCTCATCATTCGGTCAGGGTAAACAGGTGCCCTCTCTGGGAAGGCAGGAAACTGGAAGGGCATTGGACGCCTGGTGTCCATGTCCCATTCTTGAGCCTGGTGACAGAGGAAGAAAAGAGATAGATGAGGATGATGATCTTTCTGAAAGGCAGGAGGCTGGTCTAAGTAAAAGCTTTAAAAGCAGATGGCCATTCAGCATCTGATGCTCCTCCCAACCATCACACACTCATCTCCTTGCCTACAATGTGTCTACCATCACTCAAAGACTTCCTCACATTCCTTGCTTCTTACAAGTTGACTTGATATTCCTACCATCTTCAGTCTTGTAAGAGTCAATGTGATCACCACCACCTAGCCCCAGCAAGGAGAGAATTATGATGTTTACCAACTTGACAAGTCACTTTAAAACAATGCAGACCTTCAGCCTGGAGTATCAGATATTACTGTCTTTGAATAGGATGGCACTTTCCCTGAGGGCTGGACATAACAAACATTTATACGTGTCTAACATCTCATAACACCTTTTAAAGTACATATAGATCAATGTACCTTTTTACATGTGCCAATGTGTGGGCAGTGGGTGCAGAGTTGTGGTGAGAGAGTACTAGCTTGACTGTAACAGATGAAGGATAAATTACTTTGAGCATATTCTCTTAAACAAGGCAAGGAATATATATGGGATACATTTTAGAAAGATTTCCATCCAAAACGGTTAAAGGAATTAAACCACCCCCAACCCAACCCCTCACCCCCAAACATTTTTGGTACTTTAAGAGGTAGGCTTTGATTATCTGGAAAATTCACTTATTCAAGGAGGCAATTTTCTTCACATAAGTGCACACACATGCAAGCATACATGCATACATACATACATACATAGCCCTCTTAGCAGCCCAGGTGATATGAAAGCCACAGATACTAAGGCAATGGCCTTCTGCAGGACTAAAGGGTCTGCCAACACCTAGAAACCAACTAATGCCAGCTCTCATCCCATTCTGTCCCTATTTTAGTTCCTCAAGGTGACTCAATTTGCATTCTGCTGGGTCAGGAAACAGGAAAAGAAGGAAGAAAGAAGGAAGAAAGAAGGAAGGAAGGAAGGAAGGAAGGAAGAAAGGAAGAAAGGAAGGAAGGAAGGAAGGGAGGGAGGAAGGAAGAAGGAAGGGAGAGAGGGAGAGAAGAAAGGGAGAGAAAAAAGGAAAGAAGGAAGGAGGAAGCAGAAAGGGAGGGAGGGAAGGAGAGAAGGAAGAAAGGAAGGAAGGAAAGGAGGGAGAGAAGGAAGAGAAGGGAGTCCTGGACAGGGCCTGGGGCAGGGCAGGGTGCTGGGGCAGCCCTGACACATCTCCACCAGGCCTGGGGGTTCTGGAAGGAGGGCCCCGTGGCCCTTGCTCAGGTGTGGCCGGCAGAGAGGGTAGAGCCCCCAGTTCAAGTTGTGAGCCGCCCCTCCCCTGGCATCCCACACCCAGGGCAAGGTGGGCCCAGTCTGGCGGGCGAGAGGGGGGGCCTGCCCTGAAGGTCCTGAGGCCTAATGCTCTGCTGCCAGCCCCTTCCTCTCGCCGGGCCTCAGTTTCCTGCTCTGTAGAATGAGGAGTGGGGGCCTTTTCCGGGACCTGGCGGGGGGCTGACGGAGGCGGCTTCCCCGCCCACGGCTGGAGGGGGGCCAGAGGCTGGGAAGCTTCCCCTGCGCCCCCATCCCGCAGACGCCGGCCTAGGGGCTGGGGGGGGGGGGGCCGCACCTGCATGGGGGGAATGCCCTCGGCCATCTCCCCTGCTCGCGGCGCGCCGGGCTCCTGGGGGCAGACCTCGTCGGGGGGCAGCGCCTGGGCCCAGCTCCAGCTCGCGCTGTCCAGTCCCAGGCCCTGGATGGCCAGCTGCTGGGGCTGCGGCCGTGTTGACACAAACTGCATCCTGGGAGTCCTGTTCCCCTCTCAGGCCGGCCAGCGAAGGGAGGAGCGGTTCCCAGCCTCCTTCCCCTTCGCCGAGGCCGGACAGCTCCATCTACAGCCCGTAGGAGCAAACAGTCCCCCTCGGCTCCCCCCCTCCCCGCGGCCCGCGCGCCTGCCTGCCTGCCTGCCGGGGCTCCCGCGCCCGGCCCCGCCCCGCCTCCCGGGCCTCGGCCTCGGCCCGCGGCGTGGGGAGGGAGCCCGAGAGCGAGCCCGGGCGGCCCCAGCGTGGGGGCTGGATTCTCCAGATTGCACCCACCCTGGGCTCCTCCGGCATGGGGACGGAGGGCCCCGAGAGCATACCTGGGTCCCCGTCTCAGAGTGTGCACACCCTGAGCTGTGCATAACCAACGCGCAGGCTAGGGGCCCATGGCACACACTCTGAGCTCCGCCATGGTGTGGACTGGGGTCCCTGAGGGTGTACTCCCTAGTAACGAGTATTTTTAACTGTGGTCTGATTCAAAGGGGTGACTATCAGGTAGGTATTATGCTCAAAGAATGTGGATAGAGCGCTGGGACTGGAAATCAGGAAAATTTGAGTTCAGATCTGGTCTCAGACACTTGCTCTAGGCAAGTCACCTAACCTCTATTTGTCTCAGTTTCCTTAACTGTAGAATGGGGATAATGACACAGTGGGTGCTCTTTAAATACTTATGCCCTTCCTCTACACCCTGAAGGGGAAAGCCTGCTGGTGGGGGGACAGTTTGAGAGGCAGTAAGGCCTTGTGTCTCTCCTCAGATCATAGCCTGAATGTGATTACCTTCTCAGTGTCAGGGAAGAACCAGTTCATCTTTGATATCAAAGAGCTCTCTAGAGCTTATTCTCCCTCTGATATGGTGGTTAGATGAGAAAATGGGAATGTAAATTAATTTCTAGGCAGTGAGGTGGCATAGTGGATAGAGTATTGGACCTGGAATCAGGAAGACTGAAATTTATATCCTCTGTCAGATACCTATTAGCTGCTTAAGACACTTATTAGACCTTGAGCAAGTCACAAATCCCTATGTGACTCAGTTTCTTCATCTGTAAAATGAATATAAAAATAGTGCCCTCCTCCCAGGGTTGTTGTGAGGATAAAATGAAGTGAAATGCCTTGCACATATAAATTGCTATATAAATGGTAGTTATAATTATTACCCCAGAGACAGTTCAGACAGTGGGTCAGGACATGGGTATTAAACAAGCTATTGCCATCTTTCCTATGCTAAGATTATGCCATCAATAGGCCATTGACTTTGAGGAACTTTCTAGTAGTAGGATGTAATTACACTGTAACCTTGAGGGTAGCTGGCCAGGGATGAGAATGAAGTCTATGGTCACTGGCCCATTCAAGGACTGAACTCAAGACCTTGGTCTCAGGGTATACTTGAACCACTGAACTGTACTCTGTTATGGCCTATCCCCTCTTGGTGTAAGCTGCCTCTGGACCCACCACTTTTTTTTTTTTCCTTAAGACTATGCCTCATGCGTATGTAACTGCATACATACCTTTGCCTCTCCCTCCTTGTGAGATCAGAGATGGGAAACCAATAAGACATTCTTCCTCCAATAAAATCTATGAATTTTACCTGTTATTAAACTGTCCTGGAGTAGAAGAAAATAGGACCCCAATCATCTTCCACATCAGCGAGGGGGAGTCACAGAGCTGGGGAAGCTGAGTGTGCCAAAATCTAGGAATATTCTCTCTTTAGGACCCACAATTTACCCCTACAGTCTCTGGCACATGGTTAGCACTTAAATATTTTTTGATTTTTGGATCCTCCTGTCATGTTCTAAAGACCACTGTACTCAAGGTTTGGCAAACTTCCTGGTTATCTCCTTCCTATGTCCTATATTAGGCCTTAAACCTTCCCTTCTCTAGGTTAAAACAAAGCAGAAGAAAGGCCTATTGCTTTGAATTACTGGCCTGGCTGGCTCTTCTGTGAAAACTTCCTATGAATCCCTAAACCAGGAAAATGGGGAACATACTGGGACACCCTCCTAATAGGTGGAACCCAGAACTGAACACAGTACCCCAGGTGTGGTCTGATAGTGCAAAATATAGTAAGGCAGTCACCTTCTTTGTTCTGGACATTATACTTCTATTAATGCAACTTTATAATAGCCTTTTTCTTTTAATAGCAATTAAGTTATCCTGTTGATAGATACCTATGCAACTCAATCCCTCAAGTCTTTTTCCCTGGAACTAAACCAGGTCTCCTTATCTTGTCTTCTGGAAACTGTTTGAACTTAAACATAATAGTCCTTATTACATTGATCTCTTTGGATTCTGCCCATTGTCCCAGTCTGTCATGATATCTCTTTCTTGGTAAAGTTTTCAATTAATGTTTTTATTAGCTTAAAATGTCCAAAAAATCCTACTTTGAAGTTTTCTTGTGGCCTGAAAGTAAAGCTGATTTCCTGAAGGCCATGCTAGGAGATAGCAAGCTCTGGCAGGTTCTACCAGGCTGAAAAGTCTTTAAATATGATCCCAGGTACAGACTGTGTCTTCTTTATAAGGATCAGTAGGCTGGCTATTGTGTGATAAATTCTTTGACCATGGTAACTCATGAAACAAAAAATACATCATAGGGACAGAGGGTGCTAAGAATTATAGTTTTTAGGTCATCTATAAACATTACTTTAACTGTTGGTACTCTAAATGTGAAATCATGTCCAATGACCAACAAGTTGACATATTACCAGAAAAACCAAACCTAATCATTGACATTCTCACCATAAATGAAAACCAGGAGATAAAATGAGGAGTAGCTAAACATAAGTTCTCCTTGAAGACAGAAATAAAGGAATTGGTAAAATTGGTTTTATTGTTCATCCAAAGGCCACAAAAAACATATAATGGGATACCTTGTCATCTCTTATTTCAAGTCACCAAAAAGAGCAATAGAGAGATACCTGATTATTCTAAGTAGGAGACTACAAATTATCCATGAAGAATTGCACACTAGAAATGGCATAAAGGATATCAAAGTGATGATGACCAGAAGACAACAGGTCAGTTATGTATTAAGAGTGAGGGATAACAGATAAACAGCCTGTAATCCATTAATATCCACATATGTCAAGAAATCTAAAGAAAAGCTTTCAACAGGTTGAGTGGATCCACTATGGAGAATTTATGGGAGGAAAAGGGTAACACAGGATGAGCTGTAGATGCATTGTGATTTTCACCACTGGAGGAAGTACTTATCTCAAGAAGTATAAACATAAAAGGATAATTCTGCTCTATTTCTGACCTCTAAGTGAGAAGAAAGACCTTATGTGTCTATGGTTCATTAAGATAAATTACTTTTAATTATCTTAAGAGTAAGATGTGTTGTACCTATTTTTGTATCCCTGGCACTTAGCATGATGTCATACACAGAATAGACATTTAATAAATATTGAATTTAATAGAAGTTAAATTTAGGAAAGACCTATGAAATTATGTCATTTGGTTAATTGGGTTGAATACGAACACAGCAAATGAAGCAAGTGTCTAAAGACACCAGAGATCTTGACAGTATAAAGAGGCAGGGGAGATGATTGCAGAAGGGTGTTTGACTCAGTTTAGAGTTCAGCAAAGGACCATGTCTCTTCTACTAAAAGTACTTCTCTACTCACCTAGTTTCAGGGTTCTCCTCCAGTGAACATTTTTATTTATACTAATGAAAAAAAAACCTAAAACAAAACCTGTTGTTTCTTACAGACCAAGTTTTCTGGTTTCTACTAATAGCAGTTTTGAAAAATTATCATTTTTTTCCTTTTGAAAAAAAAAACATTTGCAGAGAAAATTTTGATTCTGCCCTCAATATTTTTATTCTCAGGGAACTTTGACTTTGCATTGGTATTTATTTGGGTGACAGGACCATATAAACTCCAAGAATTGTGCTGAGGTGGACTCCAAGAGAATAATGGAAAATTTGAAAAATTGCCAGGAGAAGTTGGGCAAAAGAGGACTCCTCATCTGGGGTCAGTACCTCCAAATGTTTTATGGCTACCCTCATAATGGCGGGTGAAGGAGTTAGATAGCCGTTTTAAAATAAAATGAACCCAGATCGGGGAGGCTTGAGCTGAAAATGCATTATGGACCTCATGTACCTATACCTTTGCATGAAGAGCTCATATATATTTGTAGAGGATGTCATTTATTGGTAATTGTCTTCAGAGCCTATGGCACATTCTTTTGAATACCTCAATGGTGCAAATCTCCATTGTTTGAAAGCAGATTTTATATTTGGAAACAGACATCAGACTGGTCAATTCTGATGAGTTAGAAAAAGCTGGTCAAGTGATTTTTTGGGGGAGGTGGGGTGGGACATGAAGGGTGCCTTCACAATCCTAACTGAGGGCTTTATTATTCACTCATGCAAGACACCTCTGGGAGAGGCAGGGACTGGGAGAAATAAGCTTCTCTGGAGGAGGCTTCAGGAATCCAGCATGAATCTGCTACACTACTGCTGATAGTGTTGATGCACCCACTAGAGCTGATTGTGCTGAAATCCATTCAGAAAGACCAGTTCCAAGTGTGTTTTGGGCAATGGCCACACTGTTGGAATACATATTCAAAAGGTGACTTTTTAAAATGGTGCAACACTTAACGGATATCAATTCCAGCATATTTAAACAAAATCTTATTTTACAGTAATATCTCCACGTGTGAAAACACTTTTGCAGGTCATCAATGCTATCAAAAGTTAAGGAAGTATTGTCTCATTTGGTTGAGAAGTCACCAGGGCCAGAGAGGATCGTTTGGTGACTTTTGTCTACCTGGACCTTACTTGGAATAAGTTTCCCTATAAAGCCAATCTATGAGTGTCACTTGGTAAAACATTTTGATCTTAACAGCCTGTATCCTCCCATTACTCATATATAATATAACCATTACTCACATATCAGGCTGGTGAGTACCATCTGGAGTGGACATTGTTAATATAGCACCTGCTGCTTCCAATCCAAACTCCTAAAAGACAGCAGGAGGTGCTACTTCACTAAAGCATCATTCAATTTGACTTATTTCCAACTCAGAGCCCTGAAATTCCGGCTATGATCTAATAATGACTCATCAA